CCAAATAATAAGCTGGTAGCAACTATTTTCCTCCTATATTGTGTGCACGAAATGTGTGTGTTTGCTCCAATTTTAATGCTCCTAATAACAGAAATGGCTGAACATTTGTTCGACAGAAAACAATCAGAAATTTTTTATATTTTTTCTGGCGGTGGAAAAATTTGAAAAAATTATTGGGTGTGTATCAAGTGGTGCGAATGGAAATTTTAGCACCTAATTAGTGCTGCGTCGCGACTAGGTGCGAAGTGACCTCAAATTTTGGCACTTAATTAGTGCTGGCTGGCGATTGGCGCCAGCTATGTGTGGGCGAGACGCGCCGTACATGCACCATAATGGTGCAAAGGATTGGAGAACAGCGATTTCGGAAGCGGCAAAGGAGATTTCAGATAAAATGTGCTTAAATTATTGTTACTGGTTTTTAAACTTCTGACTCCTGTGAACAAATCAAAGTACCAAAATCACCTGGGTTCAGGAAGCTGCGATGCATCATTACCAGAAGGCCACGAAACCATCGTTGGGTAAAAAAAGTTGTGCCAAGATCCCTGCAAGGTGACTTTGCTGCTGCTCAGTCAGTTCATGCGGTACCCACTTTGTCCAGCTTTCTTACCTTCCAAGTACCTTCAGGCGCTCCGAAAATTTCAGTATGCTTGCTCAAGGTTATGCTGCTGGCTGCCGTACACTTGTTTGGAAATCTTCTTCTGCCGGGTCTTCAGAAGGCCGCCGTCAAGAGGAGAATGTCGTCCGTAACCCCCCTCACTTCGAATCTAGATTTCCCTAACTTGAAAGCTTCGGAGCCATCGAAGCAGTGTGCTTTTATTGCAACATCCTTAGCCCCACACAGCAATCCTATTCCGAGCTGTCCGCACAGCACCCTCTCCAAATTTCAACTCATAGAAGTGAACCTGCTCAAACCACTACTTTGACGCCTTCACTTCAAACCTTTAAAAAAAAGTGAGGCCCGAGTCCCATCAAAATACAATGGCCGTGCAAGAAAGAGAATGAAATGGGCTTTCCAACGATATGCAATAGTACAGCAATCGTATGGAGAATTTCTCGCTTCCAAATATCGCTCGTTTCTCGCAATCCTTTGCAGCACATTATGGACCATGTACGGCGCGTCCTTGAACATCACGTAGCTGTCACCCAAATCGCACATGTTTAAAGGACGAATTTACGATGGAAAAGCAACCCATTCCAAATTGAGGTAGAGATGGTGAGTAGTACCAGAAAGAAAGCGAAACCACGAAAAACGGCCCAGAACCGGAGAAATGGGACCCCTTCCTTGTCCGTTGATTTGAGCATTGATGGGACTCTCATCGCTTTGCCCTCTTCAACCCTACGCTCTCTCAGCTATCTAATCACTCGCCACCTATTGTACTACGGCGAGTGATCAGACGATCGGTGGGCGGAGATCGCCGAACTCGCCAACTTTGAGCCATGCTAGATCTCAGAGGTCAAATCTTTCGATGCCGATTGCGTGTCTGTCCGCACCCTCAAGAGATTCACCGCTCTCCCCACTAGGCGATTTCTCCCTTCTTCGACCTTCGTTCTTTCCGTGCAATCCTCCTTTAAGTGCCCCAGATGTTGAGGTACTTCGCCCTAGTTCTGCGCCCTTAGCACTATTAGGTCTAACATTCGCCATTCGCACGCCACTTATCCACACCCTTGATGGCCTACCAATCGGACCACTTTATGCTTCAGGCAAAGTCCATGTAGCGCTTTCCCAGACCTGGTTTTTACAAATTACTGCTAGGGAACTGCCGTGGAACTTTGACGCTATGCTCCACTTCCCTGCAGCGCCGTCTGAGCCGCTATCAGAAACGGGCTCCCGAAACATTGGTCTTATGCTCCGATCTCGCCCTGGTCGACAAAGTTTTGTATGCCCGATGGAAGATTACTCGACGCCTCATAGTGGTATCTAGAGCTAGTAATGGACGCATTACTAGAATGGGACCATCATTAATCCATATGGGTGAGGTTTTACCAAAAAGTGGTGCGACAAGGTGTAGCGCCTTAGTTTTTCAGCCCTCTTCGAACAATCATGCCGACTTGACAGCGGCACAGAAATGAGTGCTAGTACTCGAAATGGAAACATCAATCTTTTGCAGCCCCAAAGCTTCACTGCTCGAAAAAAAAAAGAAACTGAGTACCGTTTGTCACTCAGCAAGGTTTTAATGCGAGCATTAATCCCTCCTTATAGCTTGTCTGGACGTATTTATTGTATTATTCTTATACGAATATAAGTCGTTTTGTCAATTCCTTTTGTGATATAGCCCTGTGATATCATATTGCTCTCACAATAGCAATTACGCAATCGTTCCTACATCCTTTCATTTGTACCCTATAAATGAGCTTTTGTTGCACACAAAATCGTTATAACCTCTATTTTAGGCTATGTGTGGCGTGGCAAGATCTAGCAGCACAAGGTTATGAGATGGAACTGCGAGCACTGTTTTCACTGCGTACGGCCGAGAAAATTGCTAGCTATCTGGAGTCGAAGAAGAACGCAATGGAAATATCGGGCGATAAGATCCCTACAACGACGTCTTCCGCTTTTGAAATCCCACTCTCACCCCAGCAAAAGCGACTATGGTTCCTGGCGAAGATGTATCCGGATCGCGACTCCTATATTATCCGTCTTCAGATGAACTTTGATGGTCAACTGGACGAATTGAAGTTAAGGCAGTCCTTCAACGCGCGTTTCGTGATGCAAGCAATCCGCTTACAAGGTCAAGGATTGATTCTGTCGGAATGGAGCCGGTGCTAATAAGACTTTCGGGGACAGAATGCTTCCACGACCTTACGCAACCGCACATACGGGACCCACAACTGCACGAATCTTCTTTAATCACCGCAACTATCACCAAAACTCACCAAAGCGTCCAGCTAGAGTAGAGTTCCGCACACTTAACTCCGATGGCAGGAGTTTGGCTATCATTGGTGAACAGTTGGCCATGGCTTACAATGGAGGGCACATTCGCGCTGGTAATTGCACCGTGCGAGAGGAAGGGGATTATTTAGAGTTTGGAAAGTCTATCTGCAAGATTATGAACCTCTGGTCATCCAAGCGAAAAGGCGATACGCAGGAGCTCATGATGGTGAAGCAGGTTATGTTGAAAGCTGTTCTTGATTTTGTTGAAAGAGCCGGAGCTCAGAGAAGTGTGTTCCATTTACGGTTGTACACTATACCAGATCCTAGTGGTGTGCTTATATTCAGGCTCTCAGAACAGTTCACGATTTGAGCGATATCGTCATAGGAACAACGGTGGCGAATCGAACTCCTGAAAATATGAACGTTGTGGGCCTTTTCGCCAACACGATTCCGTTGAGATTCAGAGAAGAATTTGCTGATTTCCCTACGCTTTTGCGATACGCTAACGACCAAATTCTTTCTGCAATGGAACATCAGAGCACTCCTCTTGCGAAAATCGTTGAAGAAGTCATCGTAGATCGTGACGTGACGTCCACTCCTCTTTTCCGGCATGTTCTTACTTTGGAAAGTGCTTCTATTCTAGAATTACCTAAAATGGTCGGTACAGAGTCGGAGGTTATTGAACCGCGGGACTACTCTTCGCCGAATTCCGACCAAAGTTGGATTTTTCAGCAGCGGAAGATGCTTAGGCCTGCTGATTAGCAGTAGGCGAACAAAAAGTCATGTGCTCGATATCGACAAGTCAAATGAACTCCTTAAAACCTGTTTCAAGGAATGTTTGAATCGAATTTTGAAGCCAAAAGCACCCATCGGTGCAACATTGGCACGATTGATAACCCTTTAATCCTACCAACACTGCTCGCTGCAAACTTTAGGGAGCAAGGCTTGTTGGAGAGCAGCCCAGATTAATCCCATCGAGGATGATGGTTCTTGAAAACACTTCTTCGATCTTAAGCTTTCGAAACACTATGGAGGCTGCCATGAATTTTGCCAATCAAATGGAAGAGACGATTATTAAAAACAATGGTGGAGCCTCCTAGAAGCGACGACGTGATCTGTATAGTTCTGCCAGAATCTTTCGAAAACCATCTCTTAATCATTTCCGTGCATCTGCTCGGCTGTGCCTATTTGTGCTTGCCTCCAGATACACCTCTTGAGAGGATGCGATACATACTGGCGGACTGCCAAGCGCAACTTGTTGTCACTGATCTAAACCTGCCCAATATTTCGGTTCCGATTTTGTACCCCACAACTGTCGTTTGAGAAGCGAGCTCATAGCTGGCCTCGTTCGTGCTCGATTTCTCTTGCCTACTTAATTTATACCTCGGGTACCACTGGCAAGCCCAAAGGAGTTTTGTGTGAGTCACCAAAGCACGCTGAATATGCTGAAACATGCGACGAGACTGTACGGCTTTCGACCGGGCGGACGTGTCTTACAATTTACGAAAAGCTCATTCGATGCGAGTATCAGCACACACGTTCGGTCCGCCTTCTGATGGAGGCATTCTCAAGCATAAGGGATGAAAACGTGGACGTGGTGGAGGATTTGGTGAAGCGGCAGCCAATCGCAGTGGTACACATGACTCCCATCATAATGGAGATGTTCAGTGAGCAGGACTTGTCCCGACTTTCAGAAGTGGAGCTGTGGAGTTTTGGTGGTGAAACTATCTCCGAATCCACCCTGGAGTTTATGATTCGCCAGGGGCAGCAACTGGTTCAGCTTTATGGGCCTACTGAGGCCACCTGTTACCAAACATCGCTAAAGATGAAGAGAGGACACAGCGCCACTTGTTTGGGTCTGGCCATCCCGGGACTGCCGCATGGTCTCTGCTCATTCAGCAACCCGTCTGTCAAGCGGAAGGACCTAGGACAGTTCTACTGCAGTGGGGAAAACCTTGCTAGAGGATATATTTCAGCAAGTAATCAGGGATTTGCCGTTAATCCATTTCGAAACGATTGAAGATGCGACTTCTAGCGAAAGAAATCATAAAGTGTACCTTGTTGGGGACAAGCTACGGCGTGACCAAAATGGACATTTGCATTTTCTTGGGCGAAAACGACGATCAGGTTAAGGTGAAGGGCCAGCGCGTGCAGCTATCCGAAATCGAAGCAGTAGCACGGAACATCAACGGCGTGACAAACGCTGTCGCTGTGATTCAGAGGGACACAATCGGATCCAATAATATCGTTTTATTTTACACGGGAACTGCCAGGGATCCATTGGCAGTCCCTCCGAAATAAAATACCACCGTCTATGCTACCTTCCAAACTTATTCATTTGCCAAATTTCCCCTTACTTCCAATAAAAAAGTTGACAGAGTTAAGCTGTCTTCGAGGGCCGACTTCCTAGCCCCTTCAAAGGTGAAGGCAGACCCACGAGATCATGTCGAACAACAAGTTCTGAAAAGTTACCGGGAAGTTCTGCAGCAACAAGAATTGGACATCAACTCAAACTTTTTCCAAGCAGGTGGGCATTCGCTGTTGGCCGTTCGTCTGGTGGCCAGACTTGAAAAATCCTTAGGATTATCAGTTCCTATAGTGAAGATCTTCGAATACCCACATGTGAAAGATTTGGCAAATTGGATCAAAGGCATTCGGAAAACTTCCACTGAAGTAGATGCAGAAGAGAAGACAAAGGAAGAGAAGTGCATACAAATTGATGAAGAACCATCACCCCTGCAAATCACCCTTCTTCGCTCCTTCAGACATCCAAAGGCGCGAGCTCTCTATGACCTCTCTGCGTTTAGCATCGTTCTGAAGAAGGCAATCAGTGCGAGCAAGTGTGTAGAGCTTGTCAACCAGTTGATAATGATCCATTCTTCTCTTCGAACGCGATTCGCCAGAAATGGCAGAAGCTACACAAGAGAAGTTCTTTCAGGAACTGAGTGCTTCCAAAATCTGGATGCCAAAGCAGACCTTATCCTTGACCCTTTCGAAAAACCTCCCTTCCTAGTTTGTCTTGATGCAGATCGCATTTGTGTTGCTGCAAATCACATAATTATTGATGGACACTCAATGCAGATCATTGTAGCGAATTTGGCTCAACTACTGAACCAGCAAAAGGTTCCAATGGACGAAGGTTTCATGTTTCATTCGTGGTTGCTGCAGCAGTTCCGACAATGCGAGCAAAAGATGATCTACAGTACTGGAAAGAGGAAAGTTGAAAGGCTATGTGCACAATCAGCTGCGACAACATTTCCTAGATTGATCATCAACGAACCGAACCGCAGGAACACTAGTCTTCTCAGGAGGTCAGTTAAGCTCCAGGGTTCAGACGTTGGTCGAACGTTATGGGTGTTCTCCTTTTGTGGTTGTTCTCACGTTTTTATCAAAAGCGCTCCAACAGCTCAGCTTGCGATCCCTAGGCTCCCGATCGCCATAGGGTTTCCTGTCAATTTGAGGACGCAGAATTTTCAGAATTCTGTAGGATTTGGCGTGAATACAGTGTTGGTATTACAAGACACGCGTGGTACTGAAGAGACGGTACTGCAGAGTATGGCGACTCAGGTGGCAAATGCGATCTCGCACGCATTCCTTCCTTTTGAAAAGCTTGTCAACTTGTCCCCATCTAAGAAACTCATCAACGTGATGCTCATTTACGATAGTTACTCTATCTATGAGAACGAGATCCTCGTCGTGAAGCCAACCGCTGCTAGTGTGACGAAGTTTGAAATTTCGGTCTTCATTGATCCTCAAACAGACACCATCCAATTCGAGTTCAACAAAAACTTATTCGACGAGGAGTTCATTCGAAGTCTGGCAGAAACCTTCCAAAATATCGTTTGCAATTGGGATTATCCGATCCCTCAAAAGGTGAATAACCCAATCCGCATTGGTAATGTAGTGTACGACCCTTCGGACGTCACGAAACTTGTTGCTTCCTTACCGATTGAAGACTTGCGCCTCATACATTGGCTGCAGCAACGCACTGGAGCTTCACTACAGCAGCGAGACCCAGATTGATGAAGATATTCGTAAGGCACTTGAAATGTTACCAAGGGCGTTGCACCCTCAGAAAATAGTCTTCTGTAAGAAAATCACCGAAGATTTCCCACTCAGCACCCAGCAGCTTCAAATGTATTACCTTTCCCTAGAGGATCCACAAGCATACGTGCTTCCGTTTCTGAAGAAGTTCCCGGAACCATTTCTCCTGTTCATCTCCATAGAGCGCTTCTTTACGAAATACAACGGCATGAGTCACTGAGAACGATTTTCTTCGAGAAGGAGGGCCAACCGAGGCAAATGGTGCTTTCCATGACAGAGGCGTACGTAACCCTGAATATTCAAAACACGAACCATATGAAAGAATCAGTCGAGATGTTCATGCGATTCCCGATAGAACTTACCGATGGGGTTCCCATCAGGTCAACTCTGTTCCGGGGGCACGGCTGCATCGTAGCCGTGATGGTGCTGAATCACATCATTTCTGACGCATGGTCCACCACTATACTTGAGCAGGAGCTCAGCGCTATAATGGAGAAGCTTTACCGCGGTGATCGCCCTTCAATCTATAGGCAAAAGCATTCTTATAGGGACTATTGTCTGAAGAAGGGAAAAGAGGTGAAATTAGAAGAACCGTACATCAATGAGCTGGTGAATGCAGAAGAGATCCCTCTCGACGAGGGTGAAGGAGAAGTGGAACTGTTGCGCTTTGAGTTCTCGGAAACGGTAGCACAACGATGGACGAAGCGCTGTGGTGCCTCCCTATTTGTTGTTGTATTGATGATGCTTTCAAACAGCATAATGAACATTTTCGGGCTTCGAAGTGTCAATATCGGAGCTCCACATTCGAATCGTACAACAGAAACAAAATCGATAGTCGGATATTTCCTCAATAATTTGGTGTTTCACATAAGGAAACAGGATGATGATTCAACTGCACTTCAGACGCTGCAACGGCACGTCGCTGACGTTTTGTTGAAAAATGCACCTTTTCCGCAATTGGTAAATTCGGCACGTCATCTAAAAAGACACCTAAAGCCACTGTTCCATGTTTACTTCAACTGTAGATATGACTTAGAGGTTGACGAAGCCGACGATGAAGAAATAATTTCTATGCTTCCTGTGACTTCCGCATTTCCACTGGAGATTGACCTTGAAAAGTGCAGTAGTGGCTATCGTATGACTCTCAGAATGCAGAAATGTTTCCCTGGCGAGCTTGGAAAACGAATAATGGAGGACATCCGACTTCAGCTTCAGTTTGATGCTCTCCCACCGCCGCTGCAATCAGATGCTTGCAGTGGACCAACGTGCTTGGAAGTTACTTTGCAGCTGGCACGCAAAGTTTTAGGAGTGGAAACAATCGACGGGAACGAGAACTTCTTCTCCGCTGGTGGAAACTCGCTACAAGTGATTGCATTTGTGGAGATGCTCGAGGAAGCTTTGAATGTGGAAGTAGAAATCGCTGAGATTTATCAAATGAAGTCGTTCTCAGAGTTAGCCAAACAGCTGCAGTCCATGCGCGTAGTACGAGATGAGGATAGCCATGAAGCAGTATTACCTCAAACTAAAGAATATTCCACGGAGCTATTCCGCACCAAGACGGATTCAAGGAAGAGATCGACCTTCATAACGAGAAGCTTAAGTGAAACTCCTACAGTTGGCCTATCGGATTTCCTTCTTAAACTTGAGAGCTACGGGTCAAGAGCTTCTATAATCGAGCACGGCGTTTCAGAAGTCACCTATACCGAGTTGACGTGTTTAATAAAGCGCCAAGCAGCCTCGATCAGGGGCTCCTACTGTCAGATCACAGGTGAGATTCTGCGCAATGACACAATAATACCAGTCATTGGTAACGGTTCCGGCTCCACTATCACTACCTGCCTCTCATAATCGGATCCGGAGCGCTTTATCTCCCCATTGATTCCTCATTCAGCTCTAGAAAGGAAGTTGAAAGTCCTCCTCAAAGAGTACAAATGGCGATATGCATACATTGGGCAGAGTTCCAGACATCCATTAAAGTCTTTCACAACGATGGCCCGGAAAGATGTTATGGCCTGCTGAGCGCCAATACGGCGAGCGATCTGGCCTACGTGATCTACACATCTGGTACAACGGGCATTCCTAAAGGAGTGTGTGTAAATCAAGGTGCCGTGATCAACATGATGCAGTCCTCAACAATCGACTTCCACCTCAATTCTGATGACGTCATTTACCAGTTCACGAATTTCATCTATGACAACAGTGTGCTGGAGATATTCATGACGTTAGTGAATGGGGCAAAGTTACTCGTGGATAAGGTGATCTTCTCACCGCGGCGATTCATTAGCCTTATGGAGCAATACGGCATTACCTACTGCCTCCTTTTCCCCGGACTAGTAGCTACATTTAGCGAGCGGCATTTCAGAAGACTTGCTGATCTTCGCTACTGGATTGTCGGTGCTGAGAAGTTCCCTCAGCAAATGTTCGACATGGCGATTGAGGCCGGAGTGAGCGTTATTCAGAACTTATGGCCCAACAGAGACGACTGCGTACGCTTTGACAAAACACATGAGGATTACAGACCTGGCCAACAACCTGGGTAAAACGATAAGGAACACTGAGATGCTAGTGGGAGAGAATGGAGAGTTGTTACTGAGAGGAAAGGGTTTAATGCGGGGTTACCTTGCACGATCGCAATAATGTGCTAGTGGAAAGATCCTGGTATCCGACAGGCGATCAGGTCCGACTTCTGCCTAACGGTGATGTACTGTTCCTAGGTAGGAGAGACAATCAGGTCAAAATCCGGGGACAGCGTGTAGACTCAGCGAAATAGAAGTAGTTATAGGATCTGTGAGAGGAGTGAAACAGTGCACAGTTATATTCAAGGAGGCCGACCAGATGTTATTGGCATTTATCACGTCTAACTCAAGGGAGAATAACGTGGTGAGTGAGGTTTTGGACTCGTGCTCAAAACAGCTTCCAAGCCACATGCGACCCAATCACGTGCTCTTGCTGGATGAGTTCCCACTTACGAAGAACGTGAAAGTCGATGTGGCTCTTCTTAGCAAGGACTGGAAGAAATACTTACAAAGGGGGTTTTTGGAATTGGTGGAGGGTTTTCTTGAGCGAAAGCTGGATCCTAAGATGAACTTCCTCGAAGTTGGCGGGTCCACAAAACAAGCCATCAAGCTGAGACTCCTTCTTACCACCAAATATGGTCAAACTTTCAACATAATACAGCTGCTGAAGAGGCCATTGGAGGATGTCGGTAAAGAGGAATCGTTGAAAATGGAAAATAAAATAGCAAAGGAACCAGAGATGATTGATGAAAGGCTGAAGAAGGTCTGGACGAAGGTCCTTAAGCATGACAATTTTGGAACGGGTGATCATTTCTTCTTCATCGGAGGCAATTCAATTGCACTTATAAAGCTGCGGTATGAGATCAATGCTGAGTTTGGAAAGCACTTCAGCGTTCAGGACCTCCTAAATGGTCTGGTGTTCAGCGAAATGAGGTCTATGATCGATTCAACGAGTACGTCGTTGCGCATTGCTACCGTCGTTCACAATCCTCCAAGACCTCGTTTCAACTTGGTCTTCATCCATGCACTCTATGGAGGCAGTGTGCCATACGCTGACCTGATAATGTCTCTGAAACAACTGGACAACTTCCAAGTCATCACGGTACAACATCCAAACACCTTCGGATTTGAAAGTGATGATTTGAGGTTTTTCAACAGTGTGCAGTCGGTCGCTGAAACATATGCAGCTGAGGTGAGAAGATATTCGTCTCACTTGACATTGATTTTCAACTCATTCTCCCCTTACAAAAAGATAACTAAGAATGAGGTATCCGTGAAAAGACATTTTCCCCGCGTTTTCTGGCAGATATTTTCTCGTGCACCTTCCCCTTGCAAAATTATCTCTGTTATTCCTTGCTTTCCTCAATATCTCACCATAAATCGACTACTCTCAATTGTTTTCTTACTGTTCTCCTCTCTGTTCACCTACTTCCCGAAAATTTCCACACAACTTCGTCTCGTTTTCTTTCTCATTTTCCCTGCTTGTCTTTCTTTTCATGTCATGCCTCTTTTAGGGACGCTCATGATTTCCTTGCTGTTCTGACCATGTTTTATCAAATTTGGCTTCCCCAATTTCATCCTCATGAGCCGCTCTCTTTCACTGCATCCTATTCTTTTGACCTTTATG